TGTAACCGCTGGAGGTTACGCGAAAGTCAAAGGTCAGCGACCTTTGACCTGACAAATGCAGTGCGACAGCAAGGACACACAATTGACTCGACATTGAGCAGTTGCCCGAGTCGCACTGTATCGAACCGCAACTGTAAAGTAGTTATAATTATGTCTCTTCATATTCTCTGTATTCATATATATATTCTTGTATCTCTTTGCTTTAATCAACTTACTTTGCCCTCACATACTAGCGCAAGGTGGTTCAAGGACTTTACTCAAAACGCTTCCGCTACTACATCACTTTACTCAGACTTTAACTCTACCTAAGATCCTAAAGGGCACTTAGCCCAACATGGTATGAGAGCAGGTTAGAGTTAAATCATTTCTCCTCAATACTTAATACACCAAGAGATATGTCTACTAGAAAGGAGAGGAGCTCCTCCAATGGCTCTCCTGGTACTACTCCTACTCCACCTCCTGCCTCTGGCCTACAGACAGAGGAAGGGACAACAACGAGACCGGCAGCTGGGTCTACTGAAACACCCGCAAACCAAGGCGTGAGCTTCGATCCAAGCATGATGGAGAAATTCTTCTCCTTCATGTCCTTCTACGAGCAGCATCAGCAAGGAGGACCTGTGCAATCAAACAACAGCAACAACAACAACAACAACAACAACGTGACGCCCATGAGTCTCGATGGCTCATCCTACGCACGCGGGAATCAACAACAGCAACCTACCTTCGCTCCGTACGAGCCTCAGCGCGGCTCCATCAGCTTCATGCCACAACCACAACCTGCACCGGGACAAGAGAGAACGTTGGACGCACTACAAGTTCAGTCGTAGTTCACGCACGTTCTAAAACTGCAAACGACAAAACCCTTCGACGGGAAGGACTTCTTCACCTGGTCATTCGAATTTGAACTGATGATGGAAGGAGCGCAAATCCTCGGCTTCTTCGACGGGTCCCTGCCATACCCAACAAATGGCACACAGTATGAGAAGCAGCAGTACACATATCAATCGATGATGGCGTACACGATACTGCTGAGGAACATCACTCCATCTCAACAACAAAACATTCGGTCTTACCGAGGCTACGGCAACTCCGCGGAGCTCGCGTACAATCACTTGAAGACCCTGTATCAAGCAACAGACAGCGTAAACCAAAGTTGGTTAATGGCGCAGCTAACTACCATCGAAATGAAATCGGGCGAGAAGGGAATGGCGTATATCAGTCGGTGCCGCGAGCTGCGCGACAAGCTTCTTCGATGTGGAGGATCGATTTCAGAGGACGCCTTCGTCAAGGTTGTCATCGGCGGTCTTGGTCCTCACTGGCGCTCCACTCGCGCCATACTACGAGCCCACGGGAAAATCTCTGAAGCGGCAATTTGCACCGAAATCCACGCCGAACAGCAAGACATGGACCTGCAAGAAGAACGACAAAGGAGAAAGGTGTCAGTACCCGAATTCGCGTTTCACACTCCACGGCGCTACAACAACAACAACAATCGACCCAAATTCATACCTCCGTTCTGCCACCTCTGCAAGACTTCAGGGCACCCTCGTACGCACTGCCCAAATCGACAACGCCAACTTCGCCCTTCAAGCAGTCCAGTCACTTCAATGCAAGCAAACCTGACAACTTCAGTCCACGTCTCAACAACATCAACGGGACAACCTGCAAAAGAAACAAGAAACATCGTTAGCTGCATGGCAAGGCTGAGTGACTCCTGCACAGCTGAGTCACCACCATAATACTCACCAGAAGAACAACTCGACAACAGTACGCCTCGCCGCGAGTCACTTCAACCAAACCCGACGTACGCCGTCATCGCCCAAAGCGAGCCGTCCGGGAAGGATACATGGTTCTTGGACAGTTGCTGTGGACAACACATGTGCTCCTCAGGACGTTTCGTTCAACGCGAGCACCAACTTCAACGAGAAGTCGTCATCACTGTCGCCAATAATCAGAACCTGCGCACACAACGACAAGGGGTGGTGCAACTTCAGTCACGAGAGACGAATGTCGTACTACAAATGTTAAAAGTCCTAATAGCAGGACTCGGCTACAACTTACTGAGCGTCAGTCAGCTGATGGCGAAAGGCATACATCTGGAAGCCGATAGTACCACCCAGGCGTTCAAGCTGTACCACGGGAAGGGCGGCCTCTACATCGGAAAGGCGATCCTGAAGAACAATGTCTTCGTCCTCGACTTCGTTCCAGACCTGGGCACCGCAGACAGTGACGGGATTTTCACCTTCACATCCTGGACGCACCCGCCGGATCTCGACCCCGACTTCAGTCCGGAAGGCTTCTGGTATTCACATACCATTCCTGAAGCAGAACGAACATGTGCGTTAGTAACAATACAACATTCGGGAGCAGCAGAGACAACATCGGCAGCAGCAGAAACATCATCGGCAGCAGCAGAGACAACATCGGCAGCAGCACAAACATCGTCGGAAGCAGCAGAAACAACGACATCAGTCCTCGTTGACGAAGCACCACCAACACCCGCACAGCAGCTGAATCCGACTCAACGGGAAGTCCACAGAAGCGCAAACTTCATCGCCAGCTTCTACTCCAACTCCGACGTGTATCGACGCTCACCCTGACACCGCGCCTCCGAAGATATCTGGCACGCACGCATGGGACACCCAAGCAACACTGTGTTAAACAACACAATAAGAGCTGGAGTCCTTGACAAGGACTCATTACTACTACTCGACGGTAGAGAACTTCAACGAGCACGAGGAACTTGTCTTACCTGCCCCGAAGCCGACTTACCACATCGGCCGTTCATTCCTCATCACAACCCGAGCGCACCCGCGTACGCACCACTCGAGAAGGTGTACAGCGATATCCTGTTCAATCGGGAACCAGGACAAGTTACATACAACTACACGATCACCTTCATCGACGCCGCCACCCGTTACGTCTGGCACCTAAACCTACCTAGCCGCGACATGGCACTGGCAGCCTCCGCTGCCTGGCTACCAGCAGCAGAGAGAGAGTCGGGCGCACAACTGAAAAGCTTCCAGTCAGACGGAGGGGGAGAATACACTTCTCAGCGATTCAAGCAGTACCTGGCGGAAAGGGGAATCAAGCAGCTCCTCTCTCTTCCCTACACCCATCAGCAGCAAGGTGTGGCAGAAAGAATGAACAGGACTCTGCAGAACAGCATGCGCAAACTGTTACGTGGCATGCGGCTACCCAACCACCAGTGGCCTGCAGCAATGGACCACGCTGTCATGCTGCACAACTTGATGTCGTCGTCTTCACTTCCGAACAACGCGTCACCGCATCTGCTGTGGACAGGGAAACAGGGCAGCACAAAAATGTTACGAGTTTTCGGGTGCATGGTACAGTACCGACCCCCAGAAGCACGAGCAGGACGATTTTCACAACGCGCACAGTGGGGACTACACCTCGGCATCGAAAAGAACTACAACGCGTGGAAAATCTTTGACGTCCACTCCAAGGAAACAGTAGCAGCATGTGACGTAAAGTAGTTATAATTATGTCTCTTCATATTCTCTGTATTCATATATATATTCTTGTATCTCTTTGCTTTAGTCAACTTACTTTGCCCTCACATACTAGCGCAAGGTGGTTCAAGGACTTTACTGAAAACGCTTCCGCTACTACATCACTTTACTCAGACTTTAACTCTACCAAAGATCCTAAAGGGCACTCAGCCCAACAGTCTGAACCCTCAGACAGCCCCAATAACGTATCTGAGGGCCTGGTCCTGAGTCAGCCTTCGGGAACTTTGGCGAGTGACTTAGGTAATCGTGCCCTTACAAGTAACCGCTGAAGGTTACGTGCACACTTCCATGCATTTCTAATTCTCCCCACATACGGTAAAACCGCGAGACAGGAGACGACTTTTGAGGCGCCTAAAAAAAAAAATCATCTGGTGAAACACAGGAACTTATCCAACCTCACATCGAAAACCTACTACCGTAAGCCCCCGGATAGAAGCGCAGGCCTCGGATAAGCGCCGGCGCTTATAAAAGGATGAGGGCGCTTATATCCGGTCCTCGATTATAAGCGCACACCCTAGAAAAGGATGATATGGTATAAGCGCATGTTTGTTTTTCATTTGAAAACCTTTCAAATTTCAGAAACGAATTTCGCATAATCAGGGAAACGAACAACAATTTCGATTTCCCACACTCTGAACTCACTTTTTGCGCGTCTAGTCAGCAGGTGCTGTAATTTTGTCAGGGTGAGCTGGCAGGGAATCACTCCCTGCCAAGCTGCGCGAGAATCAGATTCGCGACCCTACATGTTTTCGACTCGATTACAATCGCAGAACGAGATATACAGTTGGTGTAAAACAAATATATATTCTTTTTGCCATTTTATAAGCGCCGGTGCTTATAAAATTCCTCAATTATAAGCGCACCCCCCAAAAACAGTGTTTTTTTATACCCCCAGGGGCGCTTCTATCCGGGGGCTGACGGTAACACCCTTGTAAGGGGCCTGCTTTATTAAACCGCTGTGCAGCGGCCGGCTGTTACTTCAGTCGCTGCCCAATTTCGACCCTTTCCTTGCATTGCCACGATCCTGCAATTCTTAAAGCCGCTCGCCCTTGCAAAGGGTCATGATGCTGCGTTGCTGCTGCGTACGAAGCTTATTCACAGGCACCAGCGAGCGATTGGATAGTGTCCCGGTCGGAATAACAACCCAGAGGCCGCAGCTGCAACAGCAGGCTTGGTCACTCAATAAGAGTCATGATGCTGCTGCATACCAAGCTTGTTCGCAGATACCTGCGTTTCGATTTAGTCCCGGTCCGAACCAGCTGCAAAGGCAGGCTGACACACCGTCATAGCATTAGCCTCGCAACAGCAGCAGAAGCACCACCACCACTACTATCAGTAGTAGCACCAACAGCAGCACCTTCGGCAGCAGCACCGACAGCGGCAGCGCAAACGCACCACAGCAGGTGCCACATCAGAATCGTAGCACCGAAGATGCCACATCAGCATCGGAGCACGGCACATGCCACATCAGCATCGCAGCACAGCAGATGCCACGTCAGCCTCTTCATACATCACCACGTCCACATCCTCACTGAACTTCACCCTGCTCACTGTCCGCCTGCGCTCCAGCTGAGGCACTGCCATCTCATCACCCTCTCGCACACCCACACCCACAGCCACACCCACACCCACACCCACACCCATCTGACTCGCGCCCATGCCCACACCCATGCCCATGCGTGCGCCTGTGGCTGTGCGTGTGCCCCAGCCCCTGAAACTGTGTCTGTCGAGGGTCATGGTGCGCCCATACAGTGCGCTTGCGCCCTCCACAGCAGAGGGTGACCAGCCTCCACTGGATGGCTTTTGAGAGCTCGCAAAAGCGATTCCAGAAGGTGACCAGACTCCACTGGATGCTTCCCCTCTGGTCGCTGCTGCCTTTTGTGTCGACTCAGAAGTCATCTCGCCATACAGTGGCCTTGCGCCCTCCACATCAGAAGGTAATGGCGCTCCATTGAATGCTTCCCGTACGGTCGCTGCTGCTGCCCTGCCGCTGCCAACACCACTACCAGCACCAATGCCAGAAGCACCACCAGCACCGCTCGCAGCACCGACACTATCAGCACCAAGCGCAGCTTGCTGGGGCTTCCCTTGCGAGCACCAGTCAAGAGAACGCTCAGCAGACCGATTCACAGTCCAGTCAGAGGTCCACTCAAACATTCGCTCCTGCTGCTGCTGCTGCTGCTCCTGCTGGTCGTGCCGCTGCTGGTACTGGTCCTGCCACTCACGCTGCGCGCTTGCCCTGTGCGCCCAGTGAGAGGCCCACTCAGAGTGCCGCTTCTGCTGCCCCTTTTCCTCAGGCACAGGTGCCCTGTGTGCCCTCCACTCCCCTGTTTGACTGCGCCTCAGCTGACCTGCCCCTGCCCCTGCCCATACCCCTGCCCCTGCACCTGCACCTTCACCTGCATCTGCTGCTCTTGCCGTTCTTTGCAAGTGCCGCATGTTCTGAGCGTGCTGCTCATGCTGCCCCCTTGCCCTGCGACCCCTCCAATCCTCCGTATGACTGCGCCTCAACTGCACTACCCCTGCCGCTGCCCCTGCACCTCCAGCTTCTGCTCTTGCTTCATTTTGCACGTGCCATTGCTGGTGCTGGTGCTGCCGCCGCCGCTGCTGCTGCTGCTGCTGCTGCTGCTGCTGCTGCTGCTGTTGGTGCCGATGCTGATGTTGCAGCTGCTGCTCCAGGTGTTGCCGCCACCATTGGCTTTGCTCCTGCAGCAAAAGCTGCTTATCATGCTGCTGCTCCCGCTGTCTCTCTACCTCCTCCACCCCCTCTTGCCAGCTTCCTCCTTGCTGCCCCCCCACCAAGCCTAGCCCTTGCATCCTCCGAATCCCTTCCAACCCACCCATCTCTTCCCTTCCCCCCCCACCTCCCCTCAGCACCAGCCCCACCACATCCAACTCCCTCAAATCTACCTGCTGCTGCTCTTGCTCTTCCTGCTCTTGCATATAGGCGACTGCTCCCATTCCCTCGTCTCTCTCTTCACCTTCCCCAGGTCCCACTGGCAGCTCTGGCAGTGGCAGGGTGAGCGGCATTTGAGACTTGTCTACTGCATTCCATGACTCTAGATCGTCGCAGGGCATCAGTGCGTCACGTGACTGCTCTATCCTGGCAAGCCGAGGCCTGCTGTATGACAGTCCTGAAGTGGCCTGCTGCTGCTGCTGCTGCTGCTGCTGATAGGGTTGATAATGGTGAGGAGGCCTATGTTGGTGCTGCTGGTGCTTGTATTGCTGCTCATACTCGAGAAGGTATAAATACTCTAAGTGCTCTCTCTCTCGCTCTTGCCGCTGCTCTTGCTGCTGGTCATCGCACTGCTGCGTCTGCAGAAAATAGTGCCCCTGTGCCATACAGCGCTGCCAATGCTGCTCGCTATCCAGCTGCTGAGAGAAAATGGCTGGGCCAGGATGAGCAACAGCGGCTGTTGAGCAGCTGGCCATATGAAGCCTGGCTACAGCACTGTCACTTGCTGCATGGCCGGCTGTAGCAGGAATGGCTGTAGCAGAGGTGAGTGCAGGCATGGCAGGGCCAGGAGGAGCAACACTGGCTGTTGAGCAGCTGGCCATACCAAGCCTGGCTGCAGCAATTTCATTTTCTGCATGGCAGGCTGTAGCATGGGCGGCTGTAGCATGGGCGGCAACAGTGGAGTGTTTGGGAGGCTGTTGCTGCCCATGCGCCTCAACCACAAGTGCCTGTGGCGCATCAAATGCAACAGATGCCTCACACGCAGGAGGGTGTGTGGCGGTGGAGCAGTCAGGCGAGCCAAGGCCAGAGCTTTCACACCCCGAGAAGGACGAGGAGCGGCGGCGGGCAGAGGTAGATGGGAAAGAGGACTGCGGGTTGTTGAGCATGGAGGGTGGGGAGGAATGAGGGGGTGGGGAGGAATGAGGGGGTGGGGAGGAAAGTGGCAGACATGGGAGGAGTCTGGATGGGTGACCAGGGAAAGGAGTGGAGGAGGCGGTGGGTGGGGGTAGGGAGGAGCGCGGAGCAGAGAGAGTGCGACGAAACCTGTCAGTCTGTGCTGCTGACGGGGCTGTAGGGGTTGTAGAGGCACCCTGCTGGAGCTGCTGCTGCAGCTGCATCCATTTCTGCCTCTGTAACTGTCTGTCTTCCACAGCAGCAAAAGCATCTTCATTATCTGAAGGAAAAGCACTCCCGGTTAAAGAAACGGCTGCGTTTCCGGGAACAGCAATCCTTTTCACAGTCAAAACAGGCTGTATGATTTCCTCCTCACTCCAGCTTCCTCCAGTTAAAGTCGGGGGTAGAGACTTGGAATGCGGAAAGCGGAGTCTATCACCCCGCTGCCCGCCTTTCTGCGGCAATTTCCCCTTTGCTGTGAGCTCACAAGCCATGCCAGAGTGGCTTGACTCTACCATTGCTGCTGCTGCTTCTGCTGCCTTCCCCCTTGCTCCAACTCCTGCTACTGCCCCCGCCGTCCCAGCAGCCCCGGCTCTTGCTACTGTGGGCACCTCGCCAGTACCTACTCCTCCTCCTTCAGGCACTGCCTGCAGCAGCACAGGAGGACACGCAGAGCTATACCTTGAGAGGTTCTCACTGCCGTGCCGACGCAGCACCTCAGCATCACTGCCTGCCTGTGCCGCACCCGCACACGCACCTCCTGCCTCCAGCAGCCTTGCCACCAGCCTGTCCACCTCACCACCATTCCCCCCACCATTCCCCCCACCATTCCCCCCACCATTCCCCCCACCATCCCTCCCACCATTCCCCCCACCATTCCCCCCACCATTCCCCCCACCATTCCCCCCACCATTCCCCCCACCATCCCTCCCACCATTCCCCCCACCATCCCTCCCACCATTCCCCCCACCATCCCTCCCACCATTCCCCCCACCATCCCGTCCACCATCCCCCAACCCATGCTTCCAACCATCCCCCGGCTGCTGCTGAAACGCCCCACGCGCAGACAGGTTCTCACTGCGATGCCGACGCAGCAGCCCATCACCCTTGGGAATACCCGCGCACACACCGCCCCCCTGTCTGGACCATGCCAGGCCTGGAGGGTATGAGCTCCGCCCCTCCAGCATCCCCGCCAGCAGCCTCTCTACTGGGAACACATCACTCTCCCAAGCAATCGGCGCTTGTGCGTGCGAATCCAGCCAGGGCTGCCCTGTGCCATCCCTCCTGTCTCTCTCCCCCCTGTCCCCGTCCCCTCTGTCTCTTTCCATGTCCCTCACTCTGTCTCGGTCTTTCTCTCTGCCTCGCTCCTCGCCCGAATGCCAGCCGGAAAATCCCCCAATCAGTTTTTTCGCCACCTCAGGCAACTTGAGCGCGCGAGGAGACACCACTGGCAGCTGTTGCAACCCTTTCCTTGCCATGTCTGGCAGGTGCAGGTGCTGCAGCCCCCGGGGAGACATTCGGCGCTGCAAAGACCGGCTTCTTGTAGGCTTACCCAACCCGGAAAGCGGGTCACATGTAGCAGCCACAGACGGAGGTGAGACTGCTGAAACAACACCAACAGCATCACCATCACCGTCACCGTCACCATCAGCGTTGGCAGGTTCAGACGCAGCTGCATCCGAAACACCATCACTATCAACACCAGCAGCACCACCGCCAACAGCAGCAGCAGCAGCACCACCACCACCATCAGCACCACCTGCTCGCAAACCGCCCCCAAGAGCTGCCAAGGCAAAGCCAGGCAGGATTCCTTTTGGAGACTTAGGCCTCAGCATTCTTTCCCTTGGAGACCTGGGCACCACTGACCGTTCTCCAGGACACCTGCTGTCTCGCCCCCTCTGGCCTCCTGGAGACACGCTGCTGCTGCTGCTGCTGCTGCTGCTGAGCGGTGGTCTACCACCCACAGGAGATGGGCTGCTGGGTGGTCCACCACCAGCCAGGGACGGGCTGCTGGGTGGTCTACCACCTACCAGGGACAAGCTGCTTGGTGGTCTACCACCCACTACAAGGGACGGGCTGCTGGGTGGTCTACCACCCACTGGCGATTGGCTGCCTGCACCGTGCTTCACCTGGCCTGCAGCAGCAGCAGCAGCAGCCCACTGGGTACCCGCCCCTAACCCCCTACTCTGAACCTCGTTGCTCACCCTGGCCGCACTGCTCTGGTGACTTCGAGGGGATTTTCTGCTGCTGTCACGTGCCGCGCTCTGTGCGCGCTGCTTGCCATGGTTGCTCTGCAGACTGCCAGGGGATTTGGAGCGCAGCACAGCTAGAGGACTCCAAGCTCGCGTCCCCTTCCCATGCGCACTGCTGCTGCTGTAGCCCCCACTGCTCTCAAAGCTGCTGGGGTGCCGTGCTGCCAATGCGGATGCTGACTTTGCTTCTGCTGAGATGACGTCATCGTAGTGTGAGGGAGGTGGGGGCGGAGGCAGGCTGGGGAGGCGTGACCTGAAAAAGCTCATCTTGTTGGAGCTCTTGGCACCAGTAGTAAGAGGCGAGTCTTCTCCTATCGATGGCGCTGCTGCTGATGCACCTTCTGCTGCTGCTCCACCCCCTCCTCCTTTTCCTCCCTTCCCCCCGGCAGCCGCTGCTCCTGCTTCTGAAGGGTGACGACCGGCAGCAGCAGCAGCAGCAGCAGCAGCAGCAGCAGTGACCGTGGCAGGTGCTACTGCTGATGACGATATTCTGCTCAGCCTTCCGCCTTTGCTCCGCCCTTCGGGAACTTTCTGAGAACTCTTTTTGGAACCTGTTGCTGCCACACCCTTGCCTGCACCCCCAGAACCCCTTGCATCTCTCTCAACCCCCTCCTCATCCGCCATATCTCCATCAACCGCACCAAACCCCACTGATCCAAACCCCAGCATCTCATCCCCGTTATAAGCATCTCCAGGAACGCTCTCATCCCGCCGCTCACCCGATACAGGGAGCACCAAAGCGCTCTGCCCGTCAGTGTATTTGCGCCAGCAGGCCTGCAGCACGTTGGTGGAGAACACGTCCAGATCCGGCCGCCAGGGCTCCGGCTGCACGTTGCTGTGGAGGAACAGCTGCCATGCGGCGTGCGCCTGTGCTATCACCTCCAGTGCCTTGTCCGTGCCGTAGCTGTCATCACTGGCTAACACCGCTGGGGGGTCTCCTGGAAGCAGGGCGGAACAGAGGAAGAAAACCATTCAAAGTTGGGTACGGTCCAGTCCAGGCCACGGCTCCAGCTGCACGTTGCTGTGGAGAAACAGCTGCCATGCCGCGTGCACCTGTGCTATCACCTCCAGAGCCTTGTCCGCGCCGTAGCTGTCGTCACTGGCTAGTAACGCTGGGGGGGCGCCTGGAAGCAGGGCGGAACAGACGAATAAGTGGTTCGAATTTAGACTTCAGGTTCCGACCAGATGTGGCTGTGGAGGAAGATCGTACGGATCTGAAGTGGATCGTACGGGAAAAATGGACGTACATTTGTACTTGGTGAGTGGCGATCAGACAGAATCGTCAACCTCCAAACTATCCCATCACAAACAAGGAGCCTCACCAGGCTCAGTGGAGTCGCAAACCGTCAGCCAATGCATGACGGATTCCATTGTTCCCGGGAGCAGCGCGTACACGTCATCAACGTGATTCATCAGGCTCGCCAACAAGTCCCCCGCGCCAATTCCCACCACCACCCAGGCCAACCCAGCCTCGCGCACAACTGGAATCACGCCGAGCGGCTTTATCGTGTAAACCTGCCCTAAATCCGCGGGCAGACCACCCGAAACATCTATCACCTCCAAGGGACTGCCGCAACCCATCATGCCCGGAAATTCCTCGACGACTTCCTCCGGATCTTGCCACGTCTGCGGCAGCAGGCCGAGGTTCCACGTGGCGTTGTCGCAAAAGTGCGACGGTTCTCCGCGTTTCGGAGTGACGCGCAGCGGAGTGTATTCCTCCGGTGCGAATTCGTGCTTCAACCAACTTCCCGACGGCGTCGCGCAAACGCAGTTCAACCAGCTGTTTTCGCCGTACAACGGGATGTTGTGCCACGGCGAAACGATTCGATCGCGGCGATCGAGAAACATCATGCGAAAACCCAACGAACCGGGCTCGCCGAAACGCACCGCGTGCCCGCCGCTGTCCCCCTCCCCCCAAGAGAGTTCCGGCAGCTGCGGCTTTAGTCGCAACGAGTCTACACGCGGCAGTAACTGCTTGGCGGCTTCGACTCGTTTCGATGACTCCACATTCGACGGCTCCTCTAATGGCGTTTCCCGGTCCCGCGAGAGTTGCGCTTGCGCTTGCGTTTGAGGCGGCGATAGTACTGACTGCTGCTGCGGCAGCGGTTGCTGCGAGAGCAACAGCTGCTGTTGCGGCTGTGACCACGTGCGCGTGAGCCATGCTGACTGCGGCTGCTGCGCTGACAGTCTCTGGGTCGATTCCTGCTCGCGCCATTGCGCTAGCTCTGGCGGAAGAGTCGTGTCTTCCATCTGCTGTGTCTTCTGCCTCTTTCGGTTGCGTGTTGCGTGTTCACCTGTCGCCGCGCGACTCTCGACGTGCGTTTCGCAGTTTCACAGACGCAGCCGCCACGGTAAGCTCTGCGAACGACGGTCTCCCACCCCTACACGAAAGATACGTTGTCACGGGATAGCAAAACCGCGATGAAGACTTCCTTTCATTTGCATTTCCTTGCAGTATTTCTTCCATCACTAGCCTTTCAAACAAGACCCACAGGAATGGTTTTCAACCGCCCGTGCCTGATGCTTGACCCCTGCTCCACCATTTGTCGCCTGAGCAGACTTCTTTGGAGCTTGCTCAACTGGAAGGCCCACAGACAAACTCTTCTCCAACACCCACAGTTGCACTCGTTCTCATTTGTGAACAGAAGTTGGAACTTGGAAGGAACGCTCGCACGCACGGTCCAAGGGTGCGTTCCTGGCTCGTGTCAAACTTCCGGCCTTCCCGAAAAGACCCGAAGGTTTAGGTCAAACTTCCTGTCAAACTTCGTGTCTAGGGAAAACAGAGGCGAAATTTGGCGGGAAGACCCGAAGTTGGTCTCGGATGATCCAAAGTAGAGCCAGCTTCGTGTCATCCCCGGAAGACCGGAAGTTTCACACGAGCCAGGAACGCACCCCAAGTCGAGTTGGTTTCAAGGGTCGAGTCGACCCTAGTTCAAAGGATTTGCTGGTGCAGAAATTACGCGACCTGTTTTCGCACTGAAGAATTTTTTCCGTACAGCCTTTTGCAATCGTGACAAATTGTTGGCTGTGCATGTTTGGAGGGAAAAAACCGCCAATGAAACGGAAGGAGGGTATCGTCTATCCCACGTCATTTAGGGATTTCCAGCATTCCGCATCAAGGCTGGAAAAGGGGAAGCATGGCGGTTAGGATTAGGGTAGCTTCAAAATTGGTTTGAACCGGACCACTGGGACCAGGCCTGTCGCTTGCAGGGCGTTGCCCTGCTGGACCTTGAATTCCAGGGCTGGGTTGCCCTTGAAAACTGAAATTGATGGGCTGAAAAATTGTGGCCCTGATCCTTCACAGGGCTGATTTCGGGCTTAGGTCTGGAGTGTAGATTTTTGGCGAGCCCTGGAACAAAATCTTTTCGAACTTCCCCTCCCACTCCTTCCCCCCCCCCTCCCCCCCAAAGTCCTCCATTCCCCCTCCCCCCGTTTCTATTTTGATTGCATTCAAACCTGCCAAATTTGGAGTTGCGTGGCTGGGCCACAGATTCAACTCAACATACAACTGGTACTTGTACCAATCACAACCTCGCTCCCATCCCATGACACATAGACAGTAGCGTGAACCAACATGCAGCAGCAAAACACATCTCAGATCCCCGTCATGTAGTGCACCAGCAGGCATGAATGGGTATAGCAGCAGCAAAACACATCTCAGATCATTGCTAAGAGTTGGAAGAGGGGAAGTCTGTTACGCGTGCGTAGTGAATGACGCTAACTAGTTTTTCTATTGCTAACTAGCTTATTAATACTTGCGGACTGCAGCTGTCAGCTTTGTGGTAGAAATGAGGCTGCAGAATTCTCCGCGCCAAACCTGATTTAAAGGGAGGAATCAATTTCAGCCCTGAAGCCTAAAGAGCCAAATTCGCCCCGACCCTGCTAAATACAGGGTCGTACATGCCGGGCCCCCTGATTTGTCCGGGGGGGCCAAAACGAAACGGCAGCCCTGACTGGGACCCATGCAAGAGGAAAATTGAAGAAGGGCCTCTGTACTGTACACCACTTTACCAGGGCACAGAAAAAAACCAAGAAAGCTGGGAGGGTGTCAGACATTTTCAAAATCCTCTCCACCGACCACCAAAGGAGCGCAGCACAGCCTTGACAGATCTGCTCATCATAGCAGGGTGTTTTCTGTTTATCCTGTAAAAAATAAAGGGTTGCTAACACCAGTTTGCGAAAGCAGCAGTTGCCAAAGATGTGGTACATGGAGGAAGGAACACTCTAATAGTTACTATCGGTTCATGCAAGCGAATTTGCAGTTTGAATTCACCAAACCATAAATTCCCAACCCAACTCAAGCCGAATCTAAGCCCCCTTTGTTAACTATCAGCCATGTGTGGTAGTTCCAATCAACTAGTACATGTAACTGGAAGCAACCAGGCCACGACAATCCATGAACCTGCTCCAGACCACGACAATCCAGTCATGCACGTACGTATTTGTCAAGAAAGAAAGTTTTTGTTTTGACTAAGGTTGGTTGGGGTAAACCTAACCCTAACAATTGTGACCCCTGTAACACACATCATTAAGACTACATCATTTGACACACCCCCATAGTATAAGTGAGGGGTGACAATCAAAACCATAAGTGTACGATCACAAGACCAGTCACAAAGAAACAAAGCTCTGGGTGGATCATAACGTCACAACACATTTCGCGCACAAGCAAAAGGGCTACAAGGCCAGTTCAAGGGTTCTCAGGGGTATATATAAAAACGTACAAACAAAGCAAGTTGAGAACTCAAGACTGTTGGAAACAATAAGTCTTAGTGCGCTTCTGTCGGGTCAAAACCCAAGACACTAGCGAAGTAGTCCGAATCGAAGCATCGAGTCAAACCTCGGAGGTTAGGGTAACCGCCTGGAGGTTACGGGAAAGTCAAAGGTCAGCGACCTTTGACTCGACAATTACAGCGCGACAGTTAAGGACACACAACTGACTCGTTACAGAGCAGTTGCCCGAGTCGCACTGTATCGAATCGCAACAGCAAATACAGTTATCTATCCATTCGTATTCCCTGTACTCTTATATAAAACCTTGTATTTGCTTGTTTAATTTAATCCACTTTGCTCTCACACACTAGTGCAAGGTCGGTTCACAAACTTCATTAAACGCTTCCGCTATTACAAATATCCTACCCAGAGTTATCCTCTGCAAAGATCCTTAAGGGCTTTCTCAGCCCATCATGGTATGAGAGCTGACAGGGGAAAACTCTAACTTTTTTTTCTAAGATCATTACAAGACATGGCAACAAACAAGGAAAGGAGCTCCCCTAATGGCTCCTCGGGCACTACTCCTACTCCACCGCCAGCCTCTGGCCTGCAGACAGAGGAAGGCACGGCAGCAAGACCAAGGGGAACGTCAACCGAGACCCCCACGAACCATCCTTCTGACTTCGACCAGAGCATGATGGAGAAATTTTTCTCCTTCATGTCCTTCTACGAGCAACACCAGCAGTCGGGACCTGCACAGACACACAACAGCAACAACGGAGCGACACCCATGAGCCTTGATGGGTCGTCATATGCGCGAGGGAATCAACAGCAGCAACCCACCTTCGCCCCGTACGAGCGCGGATCGATCAGCTTCCTGCCTCAACCTTCACCTGCGCAAGACAAACCAATGGACGCTTTACAAGTTCAGTCACAATTCGCGCATGTCTTGAAACTGCAAACATCAAGACCTTTTGACGGAAAGGACTTCTTCACCTGGTCCTTTGAATTCGAGCTGATGATGGAGGGCGCGCAGATACTCGGCTTCTTCGACGGATCCCTGCAGTATCCAGCAAACGGCATACAGTGTGAGAAGCAGCAGTATACGTATCAATCGATGATGGCGTATACTATTCTACTGAGAAACATCACACCAACTCAGCAGCAGAACATTCGCTCTTACCGGACCTTCGGCAACTCGGCGGAACTCGCGTACGGCCATCTGAAGAACCTGTATCAAGCAACAGACAGTGTAAACCAGAGCAGGTTAATGGCGCAATTGACAACAGTTGAAATGAAACCAGGAGAAAAGGGATTGGCGTATATCAGCCGATGTCGCGAATTGCGCGACAAGCTTCTTTGATGCGGAGGATTAATCTCTGAAGACGCCTTCGTGACAGTCATCATCGGTAGCCTCGGTCCTCAGTGGCGCGCCACCAAAGCAATTCTTCGAGCCCACGGAAGAATCTCTGAAGCAGCACTTTGCGCCAAAATCCACGCCGAGCAGCAGGACATGGACCTGCAAGAAGAAAGGCACAAGAAAAGGACATTAGCACCGGAGTTCGCTTTCCATACTCAGCGACGACACAACAACTACAACAACCGACAGCAGCAGCCGAAGCTAGTACCTCCGTTTTGTCACATCTGCAAAACATCAGGACATCCACGCACGCATTGCCCGTCCCGTCAGACAACACCACTGCGACAACTGCGGCCTTCAAGCTCCCAAGTTGTTTCGACACAAGCAAGTCCGACAACCACGATTCAAGCTTCAACGACTTCAACTAGACAACCTGCACAAGGAGCAAGAAACATAGTCAACTGCATGGTCAAGATAAACGATTCTTGCATAACAGAGTCACCACCCCACT